AAAAAAAAAAGGCGGTGTATTTTAGTACTTTCACAAGTGATGCTCTTAAAGTGCTGCTGATCAAAGAAAACAAGCGTTTCAATTGGAAAACTAGACGCCGCGCGCGCTCGTCTGTGTCTGTTCGACAGCGTTACCCTCAGGTGAGCAGCAGCATCGCCTCGTTGCACCTCCGCAGTGCCGACCGCTTGGCCAGGACACAAAATGTCTCTTTTGCACTGTAACCTACACTAAATGAGTCTAAACTGACATCGTTTTCTTGCACTGAGCCAAAAAGGTGCGTCTGTGGAATTTTATTTTATTTTTTCAAATTGGAGCACTAGTGGCCTTTTTTAAACAGARCGGTGGGATGCCGACACAACGCGAGGATGTTCAGTGCTGTAAACCACCGGCCTCCCAGCGCTGCCTCAGCTCRGCGGCTTGGGAGGGACTGCTACTGTTCCCTAACATTTTAATGCCGTGTCTTAATTGCCATTGATTTGCTGCTGAAGAAGGAAAAAAAAGTTGAAATGTCAAAGAAGATACCAAAATACTCCACTTGTCTTGCCGAGGGTGTCAAAGCGCAAGCGGGGACGACCTGTGGGAGACGTGGGGAAGGGTCCCCGCACYTCGCATGCATCTTGTTCAGATGTGCCTTTTTGTTTCGGTAGGCGAAGATGTCTTAAGCTAAAGAGTTGTCTACTGTGTTGAGAACAAAGCTATATGCCATGTATGTACAATTGTTTATATTGTATATTTACAGATAATGCTAATAACCTGTATAAATCTAAGTGACTTGAGGCCTATAATGCAGTCTGCCACTCTCGCAACCGTGCACGGGCAGGAGTGTTTCCTCTGGCGCAGGAACAGCCTTGCCTTCCAAACCTAGGAACTTCCTCTCGATCTCACTTAACTTAATCGGGAATCCACTCTGGAAATTGGTAGCATTTAAACCAGCAAACACTTTATTAAACTTTTTAAACCGAAAAGTGAATGGAACTTTTATTTGCCAGTCCAACTACCTGTTTGAACTGGTGGGGGCGAGGCGGTTTTACTGGTAGTACTGTAGCAGCATTTATAAAGTGGCCACAAGCCACRTTTTATTTACTGGTCTGTGGCCTTTTACTGTGCTTTGTATCAGAGTTCTTAACAAGATTAATAAATCACCCCGGTTTTAATTTTTAAGAGCTTGAGCAGTGCGTGTTCCTTGGAAGGACGTGGATTTGGTCAGCGTGGGGCCATGCAAAGTGCCCTGTTCTCTCCACTCCGGTTGCCCTTTGCTCTGCGCAGGGCCGCGATGGAGCCGAGCCCGGAGAGCCCCTGGGGGCTGTTTCAGTCCCTTGGGATGGGGAAGTTGTCCGAGTCATTTCCCTTCTGTCCCCTCTGGAGCTCGAGCGCTGGGCGGGTTTAGGGCAGCCCCGTGGTTCATGGGGCTGCCCCTGGGGCTGCCCCTGTCTCGGGCGGCYGCTTGGGGACCGGAGAGGGGAGTGAGTTTTCTTGTCCCGCGAGACGCATCCCACGGCCGGTCCTCTCCTGCCAAACGGGCAGGRTGTCTCCGAGAGGTACCGCAGACGAGGCCCAGCACCTCCAACAGCAGCGCTGTATAAAAACCGAGCTCAGAACGTCTCCAACGAGAGACACGTGACCTGGGGAGTGCAGGCAGGAAATGGGTGATCCCATGATTATAGTTGTTGTTCTGCAGCTGGAAACACAGCTCGTACATCTCTTCTGGAAGTGCAAGTTTGGGAAGAACTTCTATTCTGGTAGATGGGTGGTGAAGAGCTGCTTGGGGAGGTACCCTCCTGACGCCGACTGTCACGCGCTGTGGGCAGAGAAGGCAGGCTGTCACATTCTGAAATTCCAGTCATCTATGGCATACACTGATGAAATGAAAACTTTATTTCTTTGTAAAAACTCTTCAAACTCTTTAAAGCATAAGTGCCTTAATGGTTTAACTCCCAACTGTATAAGAAGGCTAGAACTCTTGTGGAAAGAAAAGAGGAGTAACAGGAGAGGCCTTGGAAAAACACTGCAGAAATAATTAAGTTTTGTTGCGCGGGTGGAAAAGTAAAACTTGCTTTCATGAAGTTGCTAGAAGCGAAGTCGTCGGTATTTAAGTCCTCACCAGCAGCCATTACTAAGAGCTGAGTTGTGTTCGTCACACTGTGACACAGAAGTTGCTGTGGGGACAAAAAGAAATCTCTTTCAAATCTGCGAGCGCGTTGGCTTTGCACCTTCCTGCACTGGTGCTCAGAGCGGAAACACTTCAGTGCCTCCTGCTGAACCGCAGCTCAGCTCCGGGATCGGCTCCGGGTTCCTATCGGATGGATTCAGGCCGTGCGGCTGCCGGTGCTCGAGGCTTCAACGCGGATGTTTCACTGCAGCGAGACCTCAGCGAGGCTCCAGGTTGTGGTGGGACACGGAGAGAGTCTGAACCTGTGGAAGAAGCAGCACATGATTATTAGCACGAACCTTGAAATGATGCTGCCCCAGGGAGCGGCTCCCAGAATAGACTTTCTTTTTCAGGTGTTAGGTGCCGAACTCGAGTGTGGGATAGCGGCTTCGGGCAGAAAATTCTGCACTTCAGCAAAAATGAATTACCTAACAGAGCAAGGCCCAGAATGGACTGATTTGGAAAAATACCGATGCAGAGAAAGGAAGAAAAGGTCTCCAGCCATGCCCACTGTCTCCTAGCAGAGTGGCAGGCCAGACAATAAAGCAGAGATAAAGGTTCCTACCAGTGGGCAGGTAATGTGAAAACACGCGTCCTCAAGAACTTGCTTGCTGCTTCCAGAGGGCTTGCTGCAGAGCTGAGCTGTCCTCCAGGCCTCGCGGGAGCTGGAAAACACAGAAACCAAGAGTCGCTCCGGACAGGGCAGCAGCCGCGCGGCCAGCGGCCTCACAGGGCGCCRGGCACACAGAGACCGTCCCAGACGAGCTGCTTTGCTCGGGAAGTGGCTGGAGGCAGTTCGATTCCCACCAGTGTGGTTCAAGGGCAAGCCAAGATAGCAATAAATTATCATTTTCAGTTAGCTCATAATTAGAGGGATGGATAAAAAGAGCAAAAATGCTAGAGGAAGAATGTGAAACTGCTGGTTTGAGGCTGACTTCTGTGGGAAAAGGCAGTTCCTTCAGAGAAGCGCAGATAAGCAGATGGAATGTGAAGGCATTTAACAGCAAAAGCAACATCCTTCTAGCTGTTTGCTGTGCTCCTGCGTTGAGTTTTAGCATTTTCTCCTGCTCCAGAGCCTGAATAGCTTCTTTGGGCTATGACTTAACTACAGCAGATCTAAAACAAAGAAGAAAAAAAACCCTTTTGCTCTTTTTTTTCCCGGAATTATTCCAATGATCATAAATACACCACAGATTAAGAGTCTGAACTCCAACACAGTAACTCTTCCTT